GCTTAGGTTTACTTAGTGGAAAAAATTATAAAATTCGGATTGTCGGAGGTCTAGTTCGAAAGATACAGATGATGTCCGATCATTGACCATTTTCTCAGAGAGCAAGAGGAAAAGGTGAAGAGCTTCCAGAGACAAGCGAGAAAAGCAGCGGGGAGTACCAAGAAGGGTGGTACTACTAAGGACAGTAAAAATACCAGCAAGTCTGATAAGAAAAAGGCTACGTCAACAGCAACAACAGTGGCAAAGGGAAAAGATGGGGAGAGCGATGAGGAGGATTCGGACGATGTAGTATAGGGGAATATAGTGTATTGCAAATTTGATATGCAAATGCGAAGAATGTGTGTTTTATATTCTGGGATTAATGATAGTGAACAACTTGTCGCTATCATAGTCTCGAAAGGTTACTTTTATCACATCACATGTTCATGGCAATGTTAACATTGTTTATGCGATATAGTTTCAGATCGATTCTTATTAATCTCGGAAAATAACACACATTCGCATATCAAATTGATACACACCGTATATGGTCCAACATCACTAGTGTTAAGCACGATATAAATTGATTATTTTCAGAGTGATATCGTTGCCAAAGTACTAGACGGTGGTAACGGAGCCGATGTAGCGGCTAGTGTCCAGCTTGCGGAGTTGAGGAAACATCAACAGGCTGAGATTGAGAAACAGCGGAATACTCTCAATGAGCAACGGCGAGCTATAGAGGTAGGTATAGTGGAAAGGAGGGAAGCGGAATTATCGGTGTTGGAATATATAGTCAGAGTTTCACGCGTTTTACGTGAAGTGGTGTAATACTCCATGTGAAAAACCCGATATTGGCGGCGCTATGTAGTAGTCGCGGAGTAGGGTTTTTACTGGTGTTTTTCATTTCACGGGTGAAACTCCAATATATCCATATTTGTTATCATGACGTATATTCAATGTATGTTTGCTCTCCTAAGCCGAGTTCAGGAGTTTCCTCGGTGAAATACTACTTTGGGTAGAAGTGTACAGAAACCCAATTCCTCGAAATTTTCATATTGTCACCAACACATGTAGTTGACCATGTGCATATATTCCCCCTACACTGATCGTAGTAGATTTTGTAAATTGCTGTTGGGATGGTATGTCGTCGATTTTTTCTCGTCAAAAGGAAAAACTATCTCTTTTCGTAGGAGCAAACGGCCCGGTTGAAACAACTGCAGGAGGAGTTGAAGGCTCGAGCCAATCAACAGGAATTACGGCCACATGCAGAGGCTCTGAGTAGCGACAATGAACAAGAAGACGACGACGACGAGAACAGTTCACCGAGCAACTCGCCAGCAGTGTATCAGCCTTCTGGAGGGGTTTGGGTGCCGGGCCGGCCTGCAGATCGGGAGGAATATATCAACCAACAGCAGCCGTCTAAAGGAGCGGTGCCTTTGGTGAACGCAGTGTTGGTACCACCAGAAAAAATAGTTGGCGAACAGCAGCAGGAGGTGAGGGGAAGATCTGGAAGTATTGGTTGATCTTTATTCGTTTAGGTAGCATCACCGTCGTATGCCGCTGTTGCTAGTGGAGTTCCACCACAGTATGCAGCGTCACAGGGTGGGTTTGCAATACCACAAGTAGCGGGCGGAGCGAAGCGATGCATGTTTGTCATTTTGTTGTCGATGTGTTGTGTAGGCACAAGTACCGATGCCGCCACCCAGGACCGTGCGAGTGCCAACGGCCGAGCTTGGAGGGCATCAGCCGTTACCGCAAGGAGGTGAAGTCGGCGGGCTGGGGGAGGGTTGTAGGATGTGCATGCGTGCAGGTCAACAGCAACAGTACTATACTCGTCCATCAGCAGCTCAGCAGCCACAGCAGTCGACGGTTCCGAAAGTGGTAACTCCGTCACCGCCGAAGTTCCCTAAAGTCCCGACGGTAGGAGCGAAGAAGACGAGGAAAAGTAGCGGAAGCAACCCTCAAGTGAGTTATAAGGAACTGTGATACTATCATGCGTGTTTCCTCACTCGGAGAGATCTCCGAGTGAGCAGATACTCCTGAGAAAACTTGACGCAGTGTTGGTGCTTTTTCCGCCGCTCCCTATCGGCAATGGTGTCATGTCACGCTAGCTAACTTCTCGGACATTCCAGAAAGGCATCTTCGCTCCGCTTGAATTTGCTCGATTAATTGAGCAATATTTAAATGTCTGCAAATCGCCTCGGAAAATATCTTTCAGATACCACCGCAAGCGAGTGTAGCCACTCCTGCAGAGGAGCCTGGTAGAGTTCCTGGGATAAGAAGAAAGGTGCTCGCGTTACGAAGCAAAATGGTTTAATTTT